AGGCTATGAGTAGCAAACCATTTCAAGTTGTCACCGTCACCGTCACTGTCACCTCTTACCCTCCCGCACTTACGATACTTGATTTGCGTCTGCCACGAGCCATATTCGGCGAGTGAGAACGATGATAGTCACGATAATAAGCATTGTTGGGAAGCAACTGTCTCAGAGACGTAACGTTCGAAAGTGCAGATGATCTTGATCCTATTCGGCCATTCGTGGACTTCCGTGCCTTCAATGCCATCTACTATGCGGCAGTATCAGACTCTACGGTCGAGGATCCTTTGCAATTTGAGTATCAAGTATCAGTACTGACTAGAAGTACATACCATGCGCGTGCTATACTCGCTCATCAAGGGTGTCGGAGTTTGTACGTACATGAGAAGTATGTACGTACCTATCTTTTCTGTCTTTTGCTGCACATTGCTGTCTTCCAATCACCATTGGTGGCTTCTGGCGTAACCCTGTTACAAGGAGGACCCTGCACAGACCCGGATACCCGCCGGACCAGTGAAGCCTCAAATGTTGACGAGGAATCCTCTGCCGCGAAGAGAAAAAACCAGAGACGGGCCGTGAGAGCTTCAAAGAACGCCTCTTCCGGTCAGCAGGAAGCAAAAGCCGAGTTCGGCAAGAAAAAAAAAAAAAAAAAAAAGGGATATGTAGTGCTGTAACCATGTCTTATGTATACGAAGGAACTTATCTACTTCATCGTATTCTATGATTGTTCATCCGGGTGCCCTGCTGATCTTACACGATACAAGGTAGGTGAATTAAAGTAGGTAATTCTTATTCAGATTCTCATCATCATTTATTGCCATTCATCGTCTGCCTTATCGACCACTCATACTTCGTATATACGTAAGGTGGAAAAAGGTACAGAGATGACAAGTAACTGGATACATTGGAGATCGTCTTTGCAATTATCCAGCTTAACTGTCATGCATCAATGCGACCGTGCCAAGGAAATACCGTGGCTGGCGTCAGGGTAGTATTGCCCCTTTTGGTTTAACGCGAGACGTTTGTCGCTCCCGAGGTCCCTGCTCTTCTCCTGTTTTAGCGGTCAGTGCCTGTCAAGTTTATTAGCATGATTCTTGCATCATCGCCAGGCCGCCCTGGCCGAGCTTGCACCGAAGCTTTTATCCTATCATAACGAAATTCAGGGTCCCCTCCCCCCATCTTTGCATACGACTTTTTCATCGCCGTGTGACTATGCACCGTTGCTCAATAAATGCGGTAATCGTGTCAACACGATACTTCAAATGCCGATACCGCCGCCGTATTACGGATACAAATTTGAAGCTTTCGTGAAAAGGTTAGGTGATAATAGGGGATAAGGAAAGATATGGAGGATAAGGGGGATAAGGGGCAAGGGGGGAGAAGAAACGAACTCCTAAGCCTTTTTCAGTGACTAATAAAAGTGACGAAGGACGTGGCACGGTAGCAGAAACATTTCAAGGAATATACGGGCATTATTTTAGGAGAATTTTGTCTCATTATGTTTATGGTTCGTCGTTCGGTTATTACACACGCAATCCGTACGTACAAAACATACAAAACATACAAAATCCCGAGTGACGCGGTTGGGAAAAAAATATTGCTTAGCCACCACGACACTACCACTACCACACCAAAGGAAACAGTTCCCCGGCAGAACAGGCTGCTGGCTGGCAAGGAGCCATGACGGATACGTGTACATTCGCCCGTGCCGCCGGCAGTGATCCCCCCACTCGCCCGAAGCCAACGATTATTATATAAAGACTCTGGATGGCGCGCTTGCGGCCGAGGCGCGCACTGACTGCTTCCGGAATACTGTAGATGGCGCTGATTATTCATAGAACAGGATTCGAATGCCAGTTCGCCTCTTCTATCCTATCAACCGAACACACTTTTTAGTGCTTCGTGCTCTAGTACTTCTTACAATAATCCCCCTTCTTCCTCCTGCATCGGTAATCTCTTTCAGAACAAAAGTGCCCATTACCTAATCTGACACGAGAAGGGCCAAAAACAGGAAGTTTGAAGCATTGATGATTGTACTTCGTACGCATGGTTCAGCCACTGACCCTCGACATGGACGGTTACACCAGTTGCGACAGCAGGGCAAGCATCAGCTGGTTTCGCCCTAGGGTCTCATGGGATTGTCCGGGGATGGCCTGTCTGAGCCCTGAAGAAAAATACCCGGGCTTCCGATATTGGCAATCCGTAGGAAACGACAGGCGAAGATCTTATGAGCTGCGGTTTTGATAGGCCTTCTATCAGCCGAACATCTTACCGGCCAGGGTTGTATGTTTTAATACATCCCGTGCATTAGAAATTTATGCATCCCGGTATAGAAACGATCGAGGCCTAGATACCTAGCCGTCATATCGCATCGGCTCGTCTTCTACGAAGAGTCTTACACGATGCTGTGCCAACGTAGTGCGGCTTCATTTTTTTTTTTCTATTCCTTTGCAATTTTCTACAATTTGATGATTTCGATGGTATTGACGTTAACATCGTCGAACTAGTTTTTCTATCGCTCGAGACTAGCGGACTAGGTCATACATTAGTTAAGTCGCTTATTCCAGCATTTTGATGCTTACTGGTATGTACAGTACCACCATACTGTTATGACCTAAACGGCTTGCCGTGCCTTGGGAACACTCCCAACAGCATCTATGCCTCCTCATGTTTGTTTCTTTCGAAAGAGTCTAGTGCTTAGAATCTTGCTTCCCCGCAACTCATTTTCCGGCAGGATACTCAAGTTATCGACTCCTATTGGTACACGATGCAATCAGAAATTACTTGGGAGTGAATAAGAGAGGTTCGGTAGTGAGAATGAATTCCGAATTTCTCGGGATCTGCTCGAGTCATGCTACTTGTGACTACTACAGATTAGAGGACCGGTAGTGCGAAAAGGGACAAAATTCTGCAAAATTCTGCTGCATCTAGACTTGCCTAGATCCTAGAACGGTTACGATGGCTATACCTAAATGCTTAGTCTCCGATACCGATGGGTGAAGTCATCGCGCATTTCGTATTTGAGGTTAACCTCGATCTTGTGTGGTGATCACGGGTTATCCGGGTATCAGTTCCAAGCGGTGGCAAACTCTTTCACGCATAGTAGTCGAACGACGGGAAACAAATCCGTTCAACGGTGTTCCGGGACACATCAGGTTCCACAAAACCTCAAGAACGGTATCGGATGCCATCCGATGTGAGGTCTTTCGGTAAGCTTGGCAGATGGATTCCGCTGGGCTCCGCTGGGAGGAATTTGGTGGATAACTCTTACCATAGACTGCCATTTGTATAAACTCAAGATCACCAGCTACGCGAGATACATGAATGCTTATAAGAATAGTCTAATAAACGCCAACTATGTTGAGGCTTACATCCAGCTTTATTCATCTACCTATATAGCATGTAAGTAGATATATATACCTATATATAAAAAAATTACATATCACAATTTTCAAGAGTCTCTTTTGGAGACGCCTTTACAATATCGCCGGATTAAACCTATTACGATATGTGCATAAGGCATTACTCATCGGCACGTCACAAAGTAACCCGATGTTAGCCAACGATAACATATAACATATTCACGTATACGGAAGGGTACTGCAATAAGAGGCCATCGTATTGAATTTGTTGTCATGTGAAGAGTAAATTAACAACCGCGTAACAACCGGAACGAGCTCCTAGTGCTCGTTGTAGATCGAAATAGCACTATTCCGTCATGACAATAGCACATATCCCAAAATGTTGTTCTGCCAGTTCTGCCTAAGGCGTTGCCAATATCTCACCTTGCATAAAATACTCACGATCTACTGTAGGTATGCTACCAAGGCAGACCGGTAGTGCTTCTAGGGAAGGATTTTCGATCATGTCGACCGAAAAGTAAGAGAGATTTGCGATGCCCAAATCCTTGTTTTTGTGTGTGTGTGTTTTGTAGCTATACTATGTAACCGCGTCGCTTGTCCCGACCCCAAATCTGGGCATCATCCACTATGACCTGCAGTCTGCGCTACTACCTAGCATAGTAGCACTATTGGAAACTGAGGCGCCGTGACCAAGCTAATGGCTAACCGAAATCGTTAGGCTATCTCCGTCTTATATCTAGGTATCTATCGAAGGAATCTGTCTAGTTCGGCCTAGTCCTAGCGCTCTAGGCGTCGCCCAGGTTAAGATACTTAATTTTCGGCATCGCTGCCTCGGCTTACGTACTGGGAAGTTTGATCGAGTTTGATGATTGGACGGGACGGACTTGTAACGCGCGATAGCTTCGTTCTTGTTAGGCAATGTTAGGCGTCGATTACGGCTGGATTTATTTGTCATTTCACCGAGCCTATAGCAGGAATGCTTCGTGAAATTCGGTGTAGCTTGGGATGTTGAAATTCAGACGATGGTGGGTCTCCGTCTCAGTACGAGACTACTGTTGGGAGTGCGCATGGAATATCCTCGTCATAGTACATCGGTGGTTATTCACGGGACTTCGAATTGATTGTAGAGACACATATGACTATAGGTATTACGTGTACAATATTGTATATGGATGGTAACATAGGTTATTGGGTGTAAAAGGTTAATCGATATCGGCTCCTTTTCATACTCAATGTAGTAATTACGAAGGGTAAATTTTGTATGTATGTATGTATTTACCAAGAAGAAGCGCTATCTAAATATAGGAAGGCGTCATGGCAAGAGCACGTCCTTGCGGTAATTGCAAGTTCAGGGGTTTTATTCCCTCTTAAACGATTATACGAAGAAACTTCATTGTTAGGGGATAATAGAAACTCCCAGATAAAGCATGAAAATCGGTTAAAGTATTCGAGTAAGCATTGTTGTTGTTGTGATAGTCCTCGTCGTCGACCCCTATCTCTATCTGGACAAGTTTTAGCATTAACTAGAAACTCCCCACATGGAGCCTCGAAAATGGAGTCGTTTTTGTTCCCCAGAGGCTGAATATAGCCATAGCAGTAGCATCTCCATAACTCCATGCTCCATTACCCACCATGGGCTTGAGATCCGGAGCAAGCGGGATCTAAAGGCAGAGCCTCAAAGTCTCGCCGGGTCTGTATCCACTGGAGTCAGCGTCTTATAATTACCGACAGCAGGGTTCTCGTTATCTCCATCAACTTCTCCCATTCCAAGTCCTCGAAACTTACGAAAATCAAGAATATCATCGATGTCTCTACTTCGATAGCCATATCCTTCATTTTAAACAGTATACACAAGTCTCTACCACTCGCTAAGACCCTTAACAACGACAACGACGATGTAAAAGAATAATTTGCCTTCCAATCCTCCCTATACCAGCGATACGCGTTTCTCGAAATAACAATCCACAACAGACATAACCCTCGTGTCAAGCAAAGTGTAAAGACACTTGAATACAGTAGGAATAACATCATTTCTCCGAATCGATGAGCAGGCATTAGCAAACAAAAATAGCAGTACAATACGAAATCTATCAAAGACTATAAACGGCGAAAACTCTCCAAACCGAATCCAATTACCCAATGTCAACTAGAAGCGGAAGATCTATGTCCATAACCATTTCAATAACCTACAAAGCTCTACAATTTCATTGCTCGATTAGTTGGTGTCTAAGTTTTTATACTGTTAATAAGAAATTAACAATAGACACAGACAAGACAAATGATTCCGAGTACCTCTAACGAAAGCCAAAACAATCCTATTACAAAGATAATCCTCAACGATATTCATAAGTCCTGTTCGATATGTCTAAGATGATACGGTTTCGAATTCTGCTACCATAGAAGAACTACTATAGAAAGAGAACAATAGAAGAGACACAATAACCACAAGGTTCAACCAGACTCGGTCCTGTTCACCGAAAATAGACATCAGAAGACGATCTCGAACATACGAGGAAAATTCCAAGCAAACCATAATGCTATACCATTCTACCCACTTTACATTACTTGAGAAGAACATTCGATGGACATGTTATTCCATGGCTATACTATGGGCCCCTGACTAGATGGGAAGGTTTGCTTGCAACTCGGCATCAAACCACCATCTGAGTTTGTCACTTGCCGAATATTTGCTTGTTACAGGTTCTCTATGAGCAAACATTGGTCTTCCCATAGTTGTCTCCCAGAATTGCACCGCGTCTCCTCGCTAATGGTGTCACGTCTGGTTATCTGCCTTTGTTAGAGCTTTGGTCGGATCGAAGTTCGGCTGATAGGAGAGCTGTTGGTACAGTAACTGGCTGGTCCTGGGATAGCCTATGTACAATATCGAGTGCCTGTAGGCCATGATCTCAGGAAAGAGGGACTTTGGACTCTTCTCGCCGCAATGTCGTTTTCCGTGTCGTAACAGTCTTCATATGATATATCTGCTGTCTTCTAAGGTTCCTTTGTCAGTGGTGCGCGAACTCTGCCCTTAGACCACGCTAGCCGGTTTGTACCACTTATATGGTACTCGCGTACCTTACATACCTAGATAATCTATATTTTCGTTCGGATGTTGACGATGCCATCATCGTCGTCATCGGCATGGTGGATTAGTTGGATGATTGCATATATGCAATAACACATGTATATGATCATATAGAGAAGCATAGTCAGCTGAGCTGAGATTACGTAAAATATTATTAAGATGTGGCTGGATATGTGGCTGGTATAATTACATAAGGCATTATCTTATCGGATTAATTTAGAAGGTGTCTCGGATTAACCCAAAAATTCCTTTGCGCCCACGATCATATTGATATCTATCACATACTCACTGGCGCAACCAACGCTGAGGTTCCTGCACGGCGTTTCTGAGGCAGTACGTCGATGGCGATGGCTTCCTCGATTCGGCCTTCAATTGGCCGAATATTAAACCCTGCCGCGAGCCAGCACGCCGTAAACCCATCCTCCTTCCTCGCCTTATTCTCGAAAGGCACAACTCAAACCTGCCCCTTCTCTACCACCCCGGAGCTGAACGAGCGGCGGCCTCGTCGCGACAACAATCGACTGCGCGGGCTGAGCAGTCTGTACCGTTCCGGACCGCGAGCTCGGACGAACATCGAGCCGAGCCAGCTACCCAAGCCCGCGAACTACAAGAAGACGATCGAGGTAGATCCGAATCACGGGCTGTGGGGCTTCTTCTTCAGCAAGGACAAGCTCGTGCCCACGCCCCAAGAGGCAGAGGAGTACGGACGTGCGTGGACTGCCGAGGAGCTGCGGTTCAAGAGCTGGGAGGACCTACATTCGCTCTGGTGGGTGTGCGTCAAGGAGCAGAATCGTATCATCACGGCTCTTCGGATGTACAAGACATTCAGGTTCCTGGAGAATGATTATCTTACGCCTAGGCTGGCTGAGGTATGAGATATATATGTCTTGTATTACTTATTACTCGACTACGGCCACGCTAACCCTTGTGTGTGATGTGTAGACCAGGAAAACTATGAAGAGGATTAGGCACGTGCTGACGGAACGATACTACCTATGGGAGGATGCGAGGGCGCTGGCGATGTCGGATCCGGAGATTGATTTAGCTAATACTAGGCACCCTTACGCACCGAGCACATATCTCGAGGAAGAAGATAGTGCCGAGCCGGTAGAAGGTGAAGGCTCGGAAAAGCCAGCTGAACCGTCGGCGGCGGAAGAACAACAACAACAGGAGGGAGCAGAGAAGTCGGCCGTTGAGAAAGTCGAGCCGTCCACGATCTCGACCAATGCTCCGGAAGCTCAACAACCCCCGACGAGGATATGAGCCGATTATACGTACGTATTGATACAAAATAGAAGCTCTGAGAAGTAAGCCTGTAAATATGTACATTAAGCCAATGACACGCACGATACCTTCAGATCCAGGTCACAATTATCGTTTGCTAGGTACATATCTAGTACTCGTCGCCGGCTGATGATTAGCTTGTTGGCTATTTGCCATAAAGCTTCCTTTCGATATTCCATATGTGTTTCTTTGGTCTTCATCTAAAGAAATCCAATCATGTGACAATCAAATGCCCCTCTTTTACAGGGAAAGGCTACAGCAGCTGGAAATAATTTAACTCTACCTAGGTAGGTATGTATTTGTATTTTGGGGTATTTGTTGAGATGAGATTAAGGCAAGATTAAATTTATTTAATGAGCAATAGTGCATCCGTAGTGTAATGGTAGACGGAAGAGTCGTGCTAGGTTAGTTGATGATATCAGAAAGGGGAAAGGAGGGAAAAAGGGGGGTACGTAGCCAAGCGCGGGGTCTTGAATGATTGGAGTTAGCTCTCTTTGGGCAGTGGTACCGTTGAATTTCGAGCTTCAGAACCATAAACAGAAGCCAAAAACCAAGTTGCTTTGTATCCACCTCAAACCACAAATCAACCCAAATCAACCTCTCTCACCGATACTTTATACTTTTTATTTTTTTTTCCGTTTACCGTTCTATGTTTCTTCTAAACATCACTTCCTTGACGTTTGACCTGGTGTCGACAAACAAATAAACAATCCTCCTCCTAATCTGCTCTGGTCATTTGAATGACTGCTTGGACTTGGACTAATTGCTTTTTTAATTACCTTGACACTTATCTCTGCCCCTCACTAAATCGAATACCAAAAGCCCGTAGTCCGTCGCCCGCCATGGATGAGATTGCTAAAGAGTACGATGTCATCGTTTTGGGCACCGGTGAGTCTCAACTTTGAGCCCCGCATTCCCAACTTCGTGTCTCTTCACTTTTTGGTGGGGTCGTCAGCCTTTTGCGATATAGCTTCTAACGTGTTCATATTTATATAGGTTTGACCGAGTGTATTCTTTCTGGGTATGTATTACATCATGCGCACATGTGAACACGCGGTATGGATTCAGGCTGACAAAGTAAAAGTGTCTTGAGTGTCAAGGGCAGGAAAGTGCTGCACATCGACCGCAACGACCACTACGGAGGGTAAGTAATATATCCCTAACACAACAATATCTAACTATCATTTACTAACATCTAATATTATAGAGAGGCCGCATCAGTAAACCTCGAAACGGTACCTTATCCCTCCTCGCTATAGTCCCTATTAACCCGACGAAACTAACCCATGTACCCCCACACGATAGCTATTCAAGAAGTATGGCAACTACGCAAAAGGCGAGGAGCCATGGAAGAAGTACGGCCGAGCCAACGATTGGAACATCGACCTCGTCCCTAAGCTTCTCATGTCCTCGGGCGAGCTGACCAACATCCTCGTCTCCACCGACGTCACCCGCTACCTCGAGTTCAAGCAGGTCGCCGGCAGCTTCGTCCAGCAAGGCTCTGGTGCCAAGGCTGCTATCGCCAAGGTTCCATCTGATGCTGCCGAAGCTCTGCGATCTCCTTTGATGGGCATCTTCGAGAAGCGACGGATGAAGAGCTTCATAGAATGGGTCGGTACCTTCGACGTCAAGGACTCCGAGACACACAAGGGTAAGTGATAGAGACATAGAAATCACTGCCGCCAAGGTGATAGCAGTCTGCTAACGGCAAGTATAATCAGGTCTTGACTTAAGCAAATGCACGATGAAGGACGTCTACGACAAGTTCGGCCTTGAGGTTGGCACTCGGGACTTCGTCGGTCACGCCATGGCTCTTTACCTAAACGATAACTACCTCGATGAGGCTGGCAAGGCCCCCGAAACTATCGAGCGTATTAGGATGTACGGTAACTCGGTAGCAAGGTACGGCAAGTCGCCTTACATCTACCCTCTATACGGTCTCGGCGAGCTGCCCCAAGGTTTCGCACGTCTGTCCGCCATCTACGGCGGTACGTACATGCTGAACACTTCCGTCGACGAGGTCCTGTACGAGGGCGGCAAGGCGACCGGCATCAAGGCTACCATGACCGGTATCGAGCCCGAGATGAAGTTCGAGACCAAGGCCAAGTTAATCCTCGGTGACCCTTCGTACTTCCCCCAGAAGGTTAAGGTTGTCGGTCACGTCCTAAAGGCAATCTGCGTCCTGAAGCATCCCTTGGCCGGCACCAACGAGTGCGACTCCTGCCAGTTGATCATCCCTCAATCCCAGGTCGGTCGCAAGAACGGTAAGTCATAACTCGGAAAGTACCAACAGAAACAATTTATGTGACTAAACATAATCAGATATCTACGTTGCCTGTGTCTCATCGGCGCACAACGTCTGCCCCAAGGGCTACTACATCGCCATCGTATCCACGATCGCCGAGACATCTGCCAACCACCACCTAGAGCTACAACCTGGTCTAGAACGTCTCGGCCAAATCGAGGAGCAATTTATGGTAAGTCATTTATCCTGTCCCACTTTTCTCCTGTGTTACCATACCCCTTACTACACCGATATTTACTCTCCACCCAGGGCCCACCCATCCCGCTCTACGAGCCTCTCGAGGACGGAAAGAAGGACAACATCTTCATCTCCAAGAGCTACGACGCGACGTCGCACTTCGAGACGACCACCGACGACGTTAAGGACATTTACGCGCGCGCTACCGGTGAGGAGTTGAAGGTCGAGGGTCTCCGGGAGGGCCTCCAGGTTGCCGAGGAGTAAATGCGGTTCACCTCCAGAGCTAGGTCAGGCGACGTGGGTTAGGGGATAGGTAGTACAGTCAGTGTATCCAGAGTCAGAGTCAGAGTCAGAGTCAAAGTTTCAAGTAGCAGTGATCCCAAACCGAGCAGAACAGAACAAGAACAGACTAAGTTAGTTGTCGTCGGAGATTCTTACATAGGCATTACCATCGCAGAGGGCCGCCTAAGTCTCGTTATCGGACGAGATGTTGAAAAGTGATTATATTTACTTGTAGCTTGCTTTTTTAATCCCTTGTTTCTCTTTTTCCGAGTACTAGGAGAGAAAGAGGGGAGAATGGGTCGGGTGGAGAAAAGGGGGAAGTAGGGGATGTTAATGGTGAGGTTTGGGAGGATACCTAGATGGTGATTTGAGTCTGCGAGTCTGCTTTTGTTATGTTCACATACCTGATTATCTAGATATACCTCTGTTCTGTTTTTCTACCTTGGGTGTGTGAGAGAGAGTGTGTATTTTGTATGCCTACCTGGTCCCTATATCGATGTGTTGTAGGTTGGACGAAGGGGAGGTGAGTTTTTTGGTGTATAGGTGCCCTTATCCAGGGTTGGGTTTGGGGGTTAGCTGATAGTGAATGGTGTATGTTGTTTTTGGTCGTGGAAGTCGGTAGTAGCGGGCTCAGTGAGTGGGACTGTCATGAAGACCAATAGAGTAAGACTGTTGGCGTATCTCATATACGTGTAGCCGTCTTGTTGCTGTTGCTCTTATCATACTACTCGCCAAATATAATCACTTGGGTAAGTAGATATTCCAGATATTCCAATGCTCAAGGAGTGATGTGTACCGCACTACCCAGGCCGATAGGGGCAAATGCTTCCCGCGTTATGTGTTCGGGCTTTAACGATAACAGCGTCCCTTTTCGGATCCGTGAGCACCATGTTAGGTATGTGGGCGGGCTGGCAACAAGTTAGAGAAGGCGCTTTTAGGTAGCTTTTGTCTGTTTCTGCTCATATCATCATCAGTGGAGACGATTCTTCAACTGTAATATGCCAAGATATAGAAGCGTGAAATGATGTAGGTTGGGGAAGTTGCTGGCTGATATTCTGATAATTATATACTTAGATATAGCCCACGCTCCAAAGGGCTAATGAAGAGCGCCTTCCAAGATGGTAACAGATGGATGGTATGGATGGAGTCTTGGGGATGCTACCCCTTTAACTGGCAGTTGTCGCCAGCCAGGGATTTGGAGGCACAATGCAGCTTCACATGACCTGGTGGGCCATTGAGCATGAACAGTACATGATTTTACGTGTATTCCGGCTTGTATCGTCTGTACCAACAGTGTCCTGAATCGAGCTTTTGTGGGTGCCTGGTTGTATTTTGCCTCCTAATCCCTGGCTGGCGACAACTGCCAGTTAAAGGGACAGGTGAGACCCTGGTACTAAGCATGATATACAATGGCTCAACCGAGTTAGAACGTCACAATGGAAATCAGGTGTAGCACATAAGTAGCTAGGGATATTTCAATGAAAGGTATCTCTTTATCTCCGCAATACTTAATCGAGCCAAGATGTGAAAGAGGCCATGTAGCCAGGTAAAGAGCTTTTGAGGCTATATCTGGCTAGACATAATAACTAGGAGGGTTATATCCTTTCAAAGTGGGCTCTAGACACAATAAACGAACATCCGCTCTCCCTAGCTACCATCTGATCAACGCGGTTCCTTCATGTGTATGCTATAACAGATCGCCGTGGGAGTAGAGTAGCGTTCGACAGCCAATGGTATTTGGGATGAAACATCACTTCCGGATCAGTCTAAGAGATGAGATGGGGGTTGGTGTTAGAATCTCGTGATCCTATATTGCTAAGATTTTCAAAGCGAGTTGACCTTACTATCGGAGAGGACGACTGGCCGAAAACTTCCTTTTGATCGCATGATGATATATAGAAAATTGTTCTGCCAAAACAACACTGCGATAGGTGACGAGTCATACGAACGAAAACTGTGAGGCAATCACCTAGGCAACGCTTTCAACGTCACCGTGTTAGGGTTTATATACTACGGTTAGGCTACAATTTTTCAAGCCGACCCGACTCGGTGGATTTCCACACGTCGGTGACTAGAGGCCAGAATAAACTCCCACAGAGAGAATGTGGTGGAGTGGCAATAGCCACGCTTGACACCGCTGTTCTCCAAAGCGGGTTTTTCGTAGGTTCGATTCCGAACCGAGCTTTTTTTGCATGCCATTTCTATTTCTTTTTTTTTCCCCATTACACTCCCACATCGTGAATCACTTGGATTCTTATTATTTCCAATCCTTAGTGTCCTTGCAACCTTCCTTCTATTTATATCGTTTACACACATTACGATCAGGGCCAACCCCTATTTCTACATAATCACGTGACTGAGGTCGACAACGAGCCCCTGAATATCTAGAAGGCGACAAGCGCAATCATTCATTTATCCTAGGACTATTAAGTCCGTATAAATAATTTTTTTCAAAATTCTGTAGTATCTATCTTCATGATAGTCACCCGCGCGACCCCCATTCCGAAAAGAAGGCCACCACAACAACGGACACCGGCCGCACAACGCTACGGCAATCTCCTTACCTATACAACTTTATCACAAAGCAAATTAGTTCCTGGTTGTGTCCAGATATTTTTATTGTAATATAATGCTGGTCATAAATTTCTCAGCCGCTCCTCCGGCCTCAATATCTACAATATTCTGGAGCAGGAAGGAACCCTTCAACTCCTAATATGTGAACTGCTCGCACCTTTCCTCATTTTCGCTACTCAAGGTGGCTAGACAACGATTTCTTCAACATTATTGCGATGCGTGTACAGTGCGAAGGCTGACTTTATTAGAACACACATGCGTGATCACGATATCTCCTTGAGTGTTACCCCTATTTTACGCTCGGTTGAACAAACATATGAATAAAAGAACACCATCCCATCTAAGATACAGAAGGCCCCATCCAGTGCTTCTTAATTGACCATAAATCTGCAAAGATGTGTTTCATATGAGTATTGCGTCGCCGTAAACACAAGCATGAGAGCACTAATCGCAGTAACAGAGTGCAGAATTACGACTAACTCGAAAACCTAGTGCCCTGCGTTAATACCCTAAACTACCAAAATACGTCGTATCTCTCAATACTATTAGAATCGTCAAGTGTAAATAGAGTCCTAGAATGATCTAAAAGTACCAAGAAGGTGTAGCATATCGAATAGGTGTCAATTCATTATCGTTTGGGTAACTTAAAGATGAATACGACTTGGAACTGACAACACAACAATCATGGTGGAATAAACAACAAGAACACTTGATCACCAACTATGATGGATAAAAAAGCTCGCGAGTATGCATGTTTTGGTCTCAAGGTAGAACTCTAAGCTATATCCTATTCAAAACTCTAGTTTCTAACCATGTCCGGGGCTATCGTAATGCCTTCAAGATACACAACGTTGTTCGTATTCAACGATATTGCTAATGGAAGTGACCAATCTCCGACAAATTGATATGCTTGAAATCATGAGTTAGCGATAGCGTATGCTTTCCTCATATCCCCTCTGAGGACCTTGACGTCTCGAGTGGGCGTAGGCGCGATAGTTACTGAAACTTCTTGTTACTCAAGAAACATCTACTGATGGATCCCCTTCGCTTAGAACTACATGATGGGGATATTCCACTCATTCATGATCAAGACAAACTACGAGGTACCTACCTAGATACGTCGTATACGCAAACGATGTCCACCATCAACACAAATAGCCCACGACGTAACCACATCCAATCTCGCAAAATGTCAGCTTATACAGGGCGACCAATAAACCTAACGATCCCCCAGGCTCCATTTCGAGAGCACCTACCACATGTTTCCATTTCCGAGGCTTATGCTAGCGCGATCTCGAAATAGCTCCTACACTACCACCACCCCCCATCCCCTCAAAGCTCAGCTAGGCCAAGCCAAGCCTAGCCTGTGTCAAACTTCTTCGCACGCGAATATCGAGAATTTTCCACTTCTATCACAGTTCGGAATTTGCGGGAACCCCCCTTCAATGGAAAACGCGTGGCAGGCGCTTGGCATAGCCCGCCGGCGAGCGGCGCAAAAATGAGGCGATACCTATATCTAGATTTAATCTACCAGACCGCTGTCCGTCCAGCTACCTACCTACCTACGTACATGCCTCTTCCGTCCAATATCGCGAGATGACAAGATGTTGCGTTGCTCGCCCCCCGGATCCAGACACGAAAACGTGGGTAATAACGCACTGATCGACGCCGTAAGCCGGCTGGCTGGCTTATGACAGGTACCGTAATATTCCCACGAGGGCGCACCTTGTCGTCGTTATCGAAGATGACTAAGGACGAGGAAGACAGACGGCTCCTTGCGTAACTGCCGCGCGAGCTGAGGCCCTTTAGCTCGAGCGGTCTTACGTTGGACGCACGTGGCGCGGAGAGCGAGAGGGAAGCGTGAACCGTATAGGGCTGACCGCGTAGCGTACAGCGAAGTATGTACCTACCTAGGTAAGCAAGCAGCCAACCCTACCGCAGCAGCGTTTCCGATCTTTTTTTTTCCCCATCCCATGATTCGGCCGCGCTCTGTATTCGGAGGAAGTGTAAGGTTCTTAGTATAGTATCAAGCAAGAGTACACTATATGTGCAACAGCGGGGTGTCGCGGGCGGGGCGGGGGGCGCGTACGGTACGGAGATATTTTCACTGCCCTGTGGCGACGACATGGTTTCGGATCTAGGCAGCGATATTGAAGATGCCGTGATTGGGTCGCGGATATGGGAAATATTTCTATAGATAGACGGCCTATCCAGCCAGCCTGTTAGAACAATTAGTTGCTGTAGTAAGAAGGTCGCTAACAAGGGCGAACCTGGCGCATCGATCCATGGCCATGGCCATGAGAGGGTCCGCCGTCTTGTCGACCTAGCTAGCTACAAGCTAACCGACTGCGGCTCCGAACAGGATCGGCCCATGTTTTTTTCTAAACATGCAAGGTACAAGTCGAGCTCGACGAGGTCGATATCAAGAGCTCCATAACGGAATGGTATCCATATGTAAGCGCGAGAGCAGCGAGAGCGGAATTACCGTATCTGTCGTGCCATGAATAAGTTAATGCATTATCATGGGGGAAAGCGAAAGCGAGATATCATGAAGACGTAAGAGAGACGGAGCTCTGCCAACCAACAGTCATAGCACAATGAGTAGATGGCCCGATGTAAAATGGGTCTCCATATTACCTACACGGCACATCATTACGTTCTGGACCAACACCGAGAAGACTCGCCTTGGCTCTCTTATTGCTGCATGTTGAAATGCGCGTTGGCCTTTTGACAACAGCGCCGTCCGACTAGTTAGTTTCCTACGTATAAGGCACAGAGATACAAGGTAGACGCAATACAAAGACAAAGCTGGGGTTAGGCAAGCTCGAAACATACAAATCAAGCGCGCGGCAGGCGTGAGCGATTGGACGAACAGATGTTTCGACAAGGATATTCTTTCTTGAAGAGGAAATTACATAATAAACGTTGTAGCTAGGATACAATGCCGGGGAAGAGAGCAGAAGAAATGATGATGACAAGGTTCGGGACATTTTACCTTAGAGCTAACATTAACCAAAGTACACCGTTGTATCCAGCCGATGATGCTGTTTCGAATCGTCGCCTTGCCGATTCCTACCGCGTTGAGAAGAAGGAAATCCAAATATAGAACAAGAGCTGTATGTGGGTAGTTTTTCTAGCGGCAACGTTGAGGCAGTGCTACCCCGGCCCTGGGTCTTTGGAGAGGGGTTCGACTACAGCGTCGAGCTTCCCAGCCGCACGCGTTGGCCGGCGTCTGTGCTGAAGAGAAAGCCTTGAAACAAAGTTTATTTTGTTTCGTTGGAACCGTCCTGGTCTTTTCCTCTTTCTGGGGACCCACGATGTTTTGGTGGAGCCCCTAGCCTCGGGTCCCGCTATCAGCATCGTCACGCAGTAAGCATACAGGTAGGTGGTATGTATGTCACCGGAGCAGCTGAGGGGGACTCGGACGATAGGTACGTTTGTTGACAAGGTTGCTTTCTACCTGCGTGTTGTGTTGCAACCGAGGACGTGCGATCTCTGCGAGAGATAGATTATTGTTAATGAATGTACGTACATGCCACCCACCCTCGCGATATCTGACGAGGAGGTAGCAATGTAAGTATATGCTACAAGCTACAAGGTGAGTGTTGTTCATGCGGGTAATTCTGTTCCTACTAAATAGATTGGAGCGACCCCGGTGAAAATCTCTAGCCGTCCTCCATGTTTCATGTTTCAAAAGCGAGATCTTACGGAAGGATAGTGATGCAGGCAGGGTTTCCATTTTAAGTTCTGATAATTCGACGGGCGTCCAGCCACGAGCCATGGGGTATCTATTGCATGAGTACGACGAACGTCCCTATGGGCCAAGTCCGATGGAAGGAAGGCGGTTTCTCCGCGAGACATGCGTCTCATTGGTCCTCCGAGAGAAGGCGTAATGTTTTATGTCTGTTTACGGGAGCATTATGCGTGTCCATGTGGTGTGGCGCTTTCTTTCATGATCTGACGGTCCAGGGTTATGGTCACACCTCATGGCACTATACTTAAGGCCAAATTTTAGGAAGTAACTAGAGTACCTAGGTAATAACGGTAGCTACTAGTCCCAAGAACGATGTATGTGAGGCTCGTAATAAGAGATGTCGAGAAACTTCGTGACAGAATTCATGGGTATGATCGTAATCGTAGTATTGTACTCTCGAACAGGTAAGATCTCGCTTTTCTTTGCCTTATATGATCGGAGATGCAGACGCTAAGGCTGAGATCGTGTTAGCTAGCTATGGCACCTCAAACGTGCTCTTCAGAAGCGAATCGAGGATAAGGATCGCTCGATGATTCCTTCTATAACTCTAGCGTAAATACAGCCCTAGAGGTGCGGGAGGACTCAACGGCACGGCAAACTCGGAACCAGGGTGTGGTTACTTACGATGAAGCTGACCCGGAGGAGGTATCGGCACATCGACGAGACAACCCTTGGCCATGCGAGTGGATGGTCCGTCTTCTATCTATGGAAAAGGTATGCTAAAATTGTATCTAGGTGAATTTCCAGAAGCTGGACGTTCTTCGAGGTCATTGGTTGCACCTACACCACAGCTTTGGAGTCATCTGATGGCTAATATAGGGGCGGTCGGTTGTTAGCATGATTTTCTGTGTGTCGTCTAGGATATACCACTTCGCAAGAATATTCCAAATACCACCATGGTCTCATCTGGTCAATCATTGGTGTTCTCACCTTGTTTGATATTCCCCTTTTCGCGATTCTCATGTTAGAGGTAAACGATAATGACATGTGTTCTCTAGGACTAACAAGGTTGCTTAGGTGTTCAGCTTGTAATATTTTGATACTTTGTTGTAACTTTTAAATTGACCATCTGTGGGTGTGCGTAAAGCCCATATTGTTGCTTTAACTGATCCCTAAACCGATAAATGCAGGTCATTGTTAGATAGGAGGTTTCGTAGATGTAGGTCAAGAAGCTCGGAATCTGCCCAGTAGTGAGAACTAAAACTGTAGGCAAAGTTCTCCGGATAGTAGTACTGCATCTACCTAGATGGTTTGTGAGCTATCATAAGGCAACGTGGTGCGACGACCTCCTTATCATGCCGGGATGGATATATTTATCATCATGCAAGTCAAGCCCACAGCGACCCTCAATTGGTCGAATAACACTAATAGACACAAAAATCTAGACAGCCATCTCAGGAAGATAGGAGAGTCATAGGGTACACGAATCTATATCGTTGGCCAAGTTAAGAAATAGGTAGTTGGTGGCCTCGTTAATGTGCCTACTGAAGGGCGGTTAGCATTACTTAGCTTAAGAGGCTCGGCTCAGGGGGAAGACCATAGCGATTGTAAAATTACTCACTGGAGCCAATGCATGAGCCATGTTAGAACCCCCAATCTATCCCACCAACTGCGGCTCGTTGCCGCCAAGTTATTTTCATATGGATATATTCCAAGGTCTCCTTACTGCTCGGGCTGCCCATTATAGCAGCAACGCCGTAGGAATAGTTGCTAGTTCATGCCATTTCCTTAGCTGTAAATCACGGCCGCCTCTACTGGCAGTAGTTCATGTATGCTCAGGGCAACCAGCATTGGAAAGCCCCAGTGAAGCATAGCTCAAGGCTGATCTAGCTAACCGCCCATGCGGGAAGGCGGCTCAGCAGGAGATGGTCGTAGAGACAAGCCATGACTGTAGATAGCGGCTCCGCTCGTCGAACTTTTCTCGATCAAATGGATCTCACTAAATCGAGTAATATCTGTTGATCGACCGGTACTATGAAGAATTACTAACTGGGTCGTCCCTGGGAAATGACCTGAACATTTGGGCCTCATGGGATCATGTTTTACCTACGTCAAACTGTTCTGACGGTGGCGATCTACCCCTGGATAGATAAACTTAAGCAGAGTCCCTTTGCCTCAACCATGACCTGAGGCTGTACGTATTTTCTTATCTTGTAATTTCGATGCGTACATTTAGGTAGGTAATATTACTTGAGTGTCTTGAAAAGGGCTAGCTGGCTGAGTAAGTCGTTGGATGATTCATGATATTGGAACGCTTTTGACAGTCTAGCGCTCTATTGGGGGAAATTACCTAAAATCCTCCCCAAATACTTAGAATTCCTATTCCCTGACCTGCACTCTGCTGTACGTAGGTCATGAACTAGGTTATGATGATAGTATACCGCAGGAATATGAACTAGGGGTTTGCTGAAGGTTGATATTGCATGGACGGGATATCTCATCAATTACCTATCTAGGTACTCGACGATCTGATGTGCGACGATGAGACCAAGCCCGCTAATACCTCTCCAAGTACGTACCACGGTCCCATTAGACAAAGCCATATTGTTTTCTTATGGGTGCTTATCTCATTGTCATAGGTCCACAGAGGCCAACTAGGGACTAACCGGGGGTGTAGCATATTGTTAGATTGACACCACCCGCTGACTTGAACGATTTAATGGTCCATGAGCCTGGGGTACCGACGATCAAGAAGCCAACCTAATAGGGTAATGTACTTTCGCGACGCGCGAAAAGGCGAAGCGAAGATGTGGATCTTGGTTTCTTAGGTTAGTTTAGCCATTGTTTAGCTTCTACGGCGAAGCAACAATTAATTCGCGATATTTTCCTTTACCGGGTCGGTGAATTGGGGTGTCTGTGGACCTTCTCCCGCTATCTGTCCTCTAGTGCTAAAAGCTCAGTATTTTTTCGGGTTTGTTTATTGTACTGGCTGCGAAATACCGATTTAGGAACAATAAAGTAAGCCGATGGGGTAGTACATACTCATTGATGCAGTCAACGGACAACAACAACACTTACGGCAGCGGAAGCTAGCTTTGCCGGAAGCTCACACGCTTCTCCCCATAGTCCTAGAAATATTCTGCTATCTCTATTGATGATGTCAATGTGCGTATATGCAACAATCTTTGACTTATGTCGATTGTCGTACTCGGTTGGCCTCGGTCATATTCGATCTGAATGTTGTCCGCTACTTTGATAATCATGATAGGTCTTGTAGAAAGAGTTCGTGCGTCCAACTCAGTCGCTTGGCAGTATGGTATGTAAGTACTAAGGCACCGTGGATCTCCAAAGAGAATTATGGAGCTTGAGCTATGTTTAGCAGAGCGGCCTTGGGCCGCCTTGCTTCTTGACCTCGAGAACCGTTGGTTGTACTCCGTACTACGCAATAAGTTGCAGGGCTGAGTTGAGACAGGTACTGCTAGTTGTCGACCACGAATCTCGAGCCATATTTTACCAGGTCGTTATGGGCACTTTGCCGGCGGGGTGCCCATCATTGATATTTACGCCGCATGCCGCCAGAAACGACTATCTTACCAAGCTAGAGAGCAATTCGCCTTCGGCGGGTTTAATGAAAAAAAAAAGACTCCGGTACAGAACGGATACACGAGAGTATGTGGGGCCCGAGGACCATTGAGGAATAGAGAAAGGCAACATGATCAGGACCCTCATGTAAGAACCTAGATTGTGAAGCTCGAGCCCTTCACCATGACTTAAACCCTTGTTGCACTATGCAGGAATGCAAATCTAGTCATCTCAGATTCGATTCTGCGGTTTACTTACAAGCCGTATTCAGGTTCCGAGGTCCCGAAAAAGTTATATGATGGGACCTACGAGTCGAAGATACGCTCCATGTATGACGCCCGACCTTTCAAAGACGTAATCTGGACGAGGACGCGGCCGGTGTTGCAACTGACGATTACCAAAACAGGGTCCCTCCCAAATGAGAGCTCGTTACGATGCTCAAGGGCGCACACTATTGGTCTTGTGTCTCCCAAGGTAACGGTAGAGCATTTCTGCAAGGCGGTCCTTCTCACGGTGAGACTCTGTGACTTCGTACGAGGCGAGAAATCCAAGTATGTCCGCCGGTTTCTTATGGGAAAGAAAGGCGGGCAACAGAATTAAGGCGGCAGTGGGTGTGTTACTTTGTGTTGTGAGGTCGGCGAGCATTAGAGTCAAAACGAGTGTGTTTGGGTTTCCGACAGTTCGTGAAGACAATGTCTTTGACAGACAAATAGAAAGTCGGTGTGCATATGATTTTTTGAACTCGGGAGCTCCAGGGGGGTTGATGCGACAGTAGGGTGTCAACCGAGAAAATGTCTCACGTGTTTGATACGGCGTCTATCGGTCCAGTTAGGACGATAGCGCAAGCGAATTGATGAACAGCTCTGATTCGCGGGAGCACATATCGCCTTGGTGTGTTCGTACGAAAGGTGTCTATCTATTGCATTGATGCAACAGAGGAGACGAAGAACATTTATCAAGCAGCTCAGGCCACCGACGTTGCAATACAGATATATTGAATTCATCCGCACTCGAGGCTCCACGGCGGGTTTGCGGTCCACCGAAAGCAGAATGTATGGGTACTTAGCTGATGAAGTGCGAGTCTATGACCCATACGGCCTAATAGTATTGTTATTGTGGTTGAATTATTGTCCGCAGATTTCGAGGCTTGCTATTGCTAGTACAAAGCTTCCTTGATTTGTAGTAGGTAACCTAAATCGGATCTATTGTAGAAGACGTACGATAGATCGAACAATAACCAATACCAAGTAAGGTATTATCTCGACGAATTAAACCCACCTCACTCGATTGTTCTCGTTGCTCATATCCGGTTGAGCGCATGCTGGGCGTAACGTCAAGGCATGACCGAAGATTACAGTAGCAACCAAAGCAGCCAGCATTGCTGGAGGGCAAAGATCGTCGGTAGCTAATCAACTCGCCGAAACTCGCCACTCGTGATGTTCGCCAATGAGGCTGCGATTGCTCGCAGGTGTTGTTCGGTGGTCCTCATCCCCAGCCCTATCAGCTGCTTAGCTGAAACAAGCAGCTGCATTTATTCCGTATGCAAGTTAGATTGAGCTGGAGGGCCACCCAGGCAAGCTGCTAGCAAAGTCGTAATCTCAACCACACAGATCTTGGAGGAACGCATATTTAATACTTATGTAATCTCAGAGCTGCTTGAAATTAGCTCACATCGTCGTAGAAGGAAAAGTACGATGTCGAATCATTACTGCGATAATTTAAACGACAGGAGAATCTGAGAATATGAATATAGTAATACATGTCTGGGAAATAGAAATAGAACGAAACTAAAACTATTAAAGCGATTTCCATAGTGCTGCTGTGCATCAGTGATAATGGATGATGACGAGGGGTTTGAATGATCGGAAAAGTAAGAAAAGGATAAGATCGCCGCGCCATATCTCCGTCTCTCCACTTGCGGATCCCTGGTGAAAGGTGGCTGATCTCAGGTCATACTGTTTCAGAATCTGTACCTAAGTATCTATATATGTGGCTGACATAATAACCCCGTTGAATATAGGTACCTAGGTAGGTACCTTACGTAGTATGTGGAGAGTGCACACACCATCATTATTTTCAAATCCTATCCTTATTGGCAGGAACCTTACGTAAAAGTTCCTGGAAGCCTCGTGGCGTTTGGGCACTTGCAATTGGCTCATGTAATCAAGAATCTTGGAAAAATCCCGAACCCAATCGGGAAGGATTTAAAGAACAAAAAACTCCAACGTGGGGCGTAGAAGAACATCTTGCTCCAATCATTTGTTTCACCATAATATTGGATATTGTTCTTCTCCCAATACCGCCATTCTGGAACACTAACAACAGAGTGTATCCCTTCCCAAGCATTCGGAAATGCTCCGGCCAACGACTGCGAAAAGCCAAACTCTCCACAATAAATACAATAAAACAGCACCTCAACACCAAAATATTGACAGTATTTATTTGATCCCAAGGAAAACAAGAAAACGTTCGCAACAATCGACCTACACATGTTCTATAATGCCCTCCCAATGAGCCTGCCCGCTTAGGAAGGAGATGGACTATAAAGAGGGTGTAAGGGGAAAACGATTGACCAGTCTAATAAAACGTGTAGGCGCGCTTCACCCTCGACCTTGCATCGAGTGACATTGTCTATTCAGCTCCAGCTGCCATCATTTCAGATTGATTAGACGCTGGCCTATTCCCCCCAGACCTTTTCATTAGCTTAATCAGCCAACGCAACGCCTCGTCTCAGACGAGGATATGCTTCTAGAAAAATGCTAGAACGTTTATGCATCTCCGTTTCCTTCCCGATCTGCAGGTTTCGAAAGCAGGCTGTCTTGTCTGCTACATATCAACGGCCGGCAGCCAATGTAAACATTCCTACAAGCCGATTATGGCTGTCACACTAGCTTGAGCATAATAAAACAACCAAGAATTCTCAATAATATAGAGGCAGGTAACTCTTCGCGAAAACGGCCTGCCCGTTAATTTTAGAGGCGCGGTAAATGTGACATCCGCGGCGCTGAGACGTTGTCGTGATAGGACCAGTTGGTCTTCTGGTACCTCGAATTTGGATTCAGCTTTAACTCGTACTATGAAACAAGCAATATGATTAACAGCTGTGAAGTTACTAAATATGGCAGGAGTTAAAGATATTGATGCCATTCATAGCATCAGACGTTCTCCAAGCGAGATACGCTTTCCCCTTTTAGACTTGAGTCTCCATGACAATATCTGAGAATATTCATCGCTTCCTCCTAGTGCGCCTTAGGTTGGCAGGTTGAGTAGGTAGTGGGGGAGGGGTTCAGCTCTCATAGGCTCTTGTCATAGCGTCGACGCCGTCGCTCTGAGCGGGCCGTTGTGAAAGGATTCACAAGCTCCATGACGTACAGGGCACCGCTACTTTCCTCTAACAAACTTAGACGGCGTCAAATGAAGCTTGTTTGTGGATGCCATGTCCATAATTACCATCATAGCCTTGCTAGCTTTACTGGGTTTGCCGAAGGAGGGTCGAAATAGACGCGCTCACATAGACCTTTTAGGGAGGCTATACCATCATGCTCCGCACACTGCCCGGCAGTCTACCAATGTCATCAGCTCCATCATCTGCCTAGGGGAGTTGGCACAAGAGAAACGGACAGATTATCGCCAGTAATGGGGTTAATGTCCGACCCTTGGAAAACCGAATCGAGTGAGACACCGAGTCCGAAATGCTCCGGAGATAAAGTGCTATTTGAACGACTCAATATTGAGCAGAGGTAAGACCGGAACTATGGGACTTCCGTGTGCCGCCCGAGTGGATGTCCAAGAAGGTGGCGTTGCTACTACATTCAGTATCGAGTGACCTCGAATGACTTGTCTACCCTCTACCCACATATGAGAACGAAAATAGAACACAGAATTCTGACCTCGATATGTGGGCTTCGGATAAGGCATTAGCCACTGTCGAGCTTGGATAGTATGTTTCGGCTACATGACGCAGGAGGTTCAAGGGTGCATCGAATGAGGCATACTTTTAAAATATCAACACTTCAAACTGAATTAGCCTTGCTCAGGGATACCTACCTGCCTTTAACATCCGAATTATGAATGTCTAGTTTATTGTATTATTGTATCATTTTTCTAACCTTCTCTTTCTATTCGGGGGTGTCTTTTCTTAGAACATACCAGCATGTCTAGCAGCTAGCAGTTAGCAACCCAGCTGGAGCTTAGATAGCTTGAGCGGCACAGTCGATGGGCGTGCGCAAAATATACGGACACTGTCAAAGGCCCGTATATCCGCTACCTTGAGGCCTGATACGGTAGCTGCAGCTCTCCAGGTATCTCAGGTACCTATGAGAACCCTACTATTTTCAAGTTTGGTTCGAATACTCTAAAGAGGAAAGGGAATATGTCGACATGATTTGATCTTTCTTAACCAAACTTCTTACATAACGCCAATCTCGAATGACAAGATACTACTACACCACTGATACAACTTTCATCGGGACCGCAACCATGACATTGGCTGCATAAATAAGGTGTGTATGAACTATCCCATAGAAATAGCACAAGAACCGTCAAGAATAGATTATCTACCGCATAGCATTCATATACAAAGAAGTTTAAATCCTGCTATAACTACCGTTTTAGCACAGGGGGAATATGGAGGAAATTTATTTTAGTTGATAAAATTTGTTAGACTTCAAGAGCTATTATCTAGTTGCGGGTAAGCAAAGAATAACAATAGAAACCATGCCTCCATTAGCTGCATCGTAGTATCATTATGAATGTACATAAATTAGAGATTCTTAAAACACTCCTGGGATAATTGGGGTATGCTTAACAATACCTAAGCGACAAATTAAACGCCAGCGCTTGCCAAAAAACCCTGCTCAAGCTAAGAGATACGGTCATTTTGACAGTAACACAGTAACATTCAGAAGTACCAAGTTGCCAAAGCTGGTTCGTGCGCCCCTGGCTCTGCGTCCATCGACTAATAAGGTAAGGGCGGCACAGCTATACTTGCAAGGATTACGATCCTATGTATCTCTTCTCTCAATTAAAGAGGCATTTCAACTTTCCGCAACATGCAAATCTACCAACTAGTGGCTGTCTTGGATGTAACTTAACCTCCTCCATCGAACATTTCTACCATTCTTCTTCTCTTATTCCAAATTCGTCACACAGTCATACGCTCTGTTTCATTTTAGATTCCTGCAACGACCTTGACCTAACAGAAACTAGTAGTTGACGCGCTGCGGACATCGCCATGCTCTACCATTCCATGGGTGCTTCACGATGCCTGCTATTGCCATGCGGCCGGCCGCGTTTTGCGGTCGAGGGTTTAGAGGTCGACTGAATTATTCTGAGATGACCCTAAATCCTTCGTCGCCGTGGATGAGAGAAGATAGCTCCGTCCGTTCGCGTCGGTCCCGGATGATGATGCTGCATCGACACACGGCCTTAGACTCCGAGTAATCATGACTTTCGGATTTACGCTTATGTGCTACCTCGCTAGAAGTCCGACGTCATTCTACCAAGCACTCCCAGCGACATAAGGACTTTTTACTTGCGCGATCACACTGTACCCTTGACTGTGGGCTCTCGCATTCTCTTAATGTCTCGACTATTCAGTCTTGTTCATGACACCTTAGCTCGCCTCTCCTGATGCTTCTACATCTTGCACAAGACCCTTGCAGGCGTATGCATGGCGTGCCGTATTATACGCGCGGTACAGTACGGTTTTAATGAGCTACACGTTATGTGGGCGAGATTTGTAGTATGGATAAGGCAGGTCGACTAAGAAACAAGTCGCAGAATTTAGCACTGCCCGCTCACTCTTCTCCGCGAAGAGACGCAAAAGCCACCCTACCCCGTGCCAGGCTTGTCGCGCTTGACACTTAGCTACACACCACGGCTCCGAGAATCTCATCCCAGCACCCAGTCTTGGACTCTGCAGATTCTCTACACGCCTTTGACGCAACACACGAACCACGCGCATGCTGCCTTATCACTCCGCCTACCCCCCATTCGAAAGCTACTTTTATTATAGATGATGCCAGGTACCAAGCAACCAAAGCCTCCCCTGTCAGCAAAAAGACACCCATGGCTGCCATGGGCCATTTTCTAACCCTGCCAGAATTGCCTGGGATCAATTGCTAGGCTGCTACCATGTCGAGCCGAACATGATCAAGCCATCGATCGCCGGGGTATGCTAGGACCCATCACGCAAGAAGAGATAATAGAGAGGCCCTTAAACTGCTATCATCTTGTACCTAACTACCTTTCGATGCTGTATCCATCTGACCCCCGCTCTCCCACCAGCCATGCCAATCTATCTTCCCCGTCTCCCGTCTATGTATAACCCATGTCGACTCATTATACATACATAGTACTATGAAGGCGGATCCACAGACGAGGTACTTCCGCTAATGTATGTGGTATGTATGTATGTAGAGTAGGACCTTCGTTGGTTCCACCCCACACCCACACCCTCACCCACTTCTTCACCCTACCATGCCTTACCTACCTTTACGTCGTACCCGCCTTTTGGCTTGTAGACCCATGTAAGAGGTACTAGCATACTCCTCACTACGGAGTCGAATGTAAGATGTACTCCACGGTACACATCTTTTCTGGTGACAGGGTAGGCCGTTTCCCACGCAGCAGCATACATACGTAAGGTCAAGAAGCCGGTTGTGCTCCACCAGGTGATAATTTATAAGCACTTGATGTTCCTCTTGTCCTGCCATCGCGACCATTGAGGCTGAGAGATTCTCAAGTACAAAACGGCTTACCATACTTAGCTGTGCAAGATCTTCCTTCACGACTCTCTTACACCTTCTCATCTTTGCCAAACCAGCTACGCCTTTGGTCTTTATTATAAGTCCTACAGATCGCCCTCCCACCTTGCTTCCCAACGGACAATAGTCATACACCTTCAGACAAGGATATATACAACACATATTGTACGTGCTTTCATACAACTTATAAACCTCGATGAGACTTAGTTCTACGCCATAATGGACCATCGCTCTCGATTAGAACGAGATTCCGAAGACTCTTACTCACACCTACCTAGATCAAGAGCTAGTAGCACGAATTCGACGACAAGTGGATTTCGCAACTTAGACCTTATCGCTTCGTCTCATAGACCTCAACCGCCGTCTTATATCAACCGCCTCCCACATCGTTCTACGACTTATCTCCAAGAACCTACGTCTTATCCTTCTCAGAGTGCTTTGGAAACCGAGTGGAGCGAGGGACAGTCACAGTCACAGTCACAAGGAACACCTTTACTACGTGTCGATCCAGCGCGAGATAGTTCCTCTTCATCTTTACCACCTCCGGCAACATCAACTATGAGGTGAGCTTTCTTATGCGCATTGATCTGTATAGGACGAATAGCTTACAATGAACAGTACCGTAGCTGTAGCATTCGACCCAAGGTTGGAGATGGGTATTCCGCGCTCCTCCTATAGTTGGCCCGGTCTAGATTCAGCCTCGGATTTATTAGCTCACGACATGAGCTCTGTTGGTCATGGATCCGATGCCAGCATGACCCCTCCGAGTGGATCTCGATCTTTAACTTCCAGCCCGCCCCGATTCACCTTGACACCGGAGCAACGAGAGCTTAAGAGGCAGCGGGACCAGGCTCGACGGGATTCAAAGACGACAGCACGCGCGCGCCGAGCTATGAGCACTTACTCTTCTGCTTCTCAATCACCGCCAGTTTCGCTACATGAATTTTCCGCAGCGTCACCTGTTCCAGTTTACACGACTGCTCCATCGCAAATATCACTCCTGGCAGAGCCCGCGACATCTATTGCCCCGCAATATATGCCATCTTATTCCACGTCGCCTCTCCCTGACCACGGCAGCCCGATGTTCACACATCAATTTTCTTCACTGTGAGTTCGGTGATGACGCCACTCGATTTTTTACGATGCTGACAATTGACATAATAGACCGCCTAGTGATTACCTGGGCCTGAATTACTCACCGGGATACCCTCCGCCCCCACCATCCGCTCACAGCTTATCTTCATCGTATAGGTTAGTCAAATAACGATCACTCTCGTAATTTCCAAATACTAATGACCGAAGCAGTCGCCCGTCGCCACCGATGCATGAAGCTCAGATGATGTATCCTGTTCAGCCCCCACAAATTCTTTCTTCTGGAGGCTCAGCGCAAGAAGCCGGCCACGTCCGCGTCGTTCAAAGTCGACCTAAGCCTCAGTGCTGGGAGCATGGATGCAACGGACGACAATTTTCGACTTTCAGTAACCTCCTGAGACATCAGCGTGAGAAGTCGGGACAGGCAGCTAAGGCTACATGCCCTAACTGCGGTGCCGAGTTTACGAGAACTACTGTAAGTTTCTAAGCTAATACCTCACCCTAGAATAACTCACTAATTCATTCTTTAGGCTCGCAATGGACACTTATTACATGACAAGTGCAAGCAAAGACGAAACTCGTAAAACATTTAAAAAAAAATAAAAAGAAATACGACAACACTTTCGACGATTTCTTAGGGATGAATGATTGTCAGGATGTCAATGTGAAAATATGGGAGCTACGAGAACTTGGGAAGCGGGATACGGTTTTAGACGACGGCTCGACCGACACTCGAAACAATCGGATATATTTTTTTGCTCGGAGTATATATGGGACTACGGATTATGGGGACTGATGAGCTTTGGAATATGGCGTGGAAGATTTAAGCATATACCCCTATTTTTCTTTTCGACTTTCTTCGTTCGATCTTCGATCTTTGACGAACTTCGATGATCTTTTGACCTTGTATAAATTTGGCTTCAGCGGAAATGAAATTTACCTTTTCTCATCATCAAGACGTTGTCCGAGACTTGTGAACCAACACGTGAAGCACTTGTGAGGTTTTTTTTTGGTAACCATCCATTTTTCTCCTAAGCGAGGAAGCTATTCCAACGTTACTGGCGCCGCCTCTAGTCTCCTACTAGCGATTGACTAACTCAACAGGCCTTGTCGGGACCGAAAAGGTTATCTTGATTCAAGATTCGAGGTCGGTAAAACGTACGGGACATGGGTTGGCCCCGCCAGCATAAAATCGATGCTACCTGTATGTATGTGTACGCATTTCTCTAACGCTTAAGTAGGTCCCATACTATAGAGATTTATTACGTGGGGTTAGGCTTTTCCAGCTGGGTACGGTAGCATCGCTTCTCTTAACTAGACGTCTATCGCGACTGATCGGGCCAAGCTAAGGGGCAACCTTTGACTTCGTTCTTGCTTGCCCATGATCCTACCTACACTGAGTATGTATGTAGGTGCAACGTGCGATGCGACCATGCTTCTGGTGGGGAACGAAGGTGGGAAAGATCATAGATGATCTCGAAAGCAGCGCGAGAAAGGACGTGGACGACATGGGTGAAGGACCCCTAGTCGGGAATAGCCCAGCTGCAGTAGACCTGCTTCAGCTTAGCTATAAACGCAGCAGCATATAATACAGGGCGCAGAAGTGCAGACAACCCGCCCGTTAGCCAGGTGGCAGACAGGGGATTGGTGTTACAATACATGAAGTGGCTACCACTAAACTACTCCTACTAGGTACGGTTAGGTGGTATGTGTGCGCAGGACCAAAGGCAACTTCCGGATTGGGTTATGCTTAACCTTGGATCGTAACCTGTTCTGTACAATAGTGCCTAGCTATAGCAGCTGTGACTGGTAACTGTTTGGTACCATAGGTAGGGTATGTATGATTGTACCTTGCGTTCTTTCGTCTGGGTCCAGTCAGAGGAGCAGAACGTAGAGAACGAGTGGCCCCCTTCAAACCGGTCATCTGGAAATCGTTATGTCACGATGAGACATCCTATACCAACCAAGTCAGGGTCGCAATGGAACGATGGGAACAATTCCGCGCCTTTATGCTCTCTGCCAATCCCGCTCGGCGTATTATTGTGCATACACAATTTCCTGATCTTCAAACCCCTCGCGTTCTCGCTACGAAACCATTCGGCCGAAACGAGGGGACCTTTTTTTCCCACGTGAGGGGTCCAGTGTTTGTGGCTCTCAAGGTAGATCCTGTGCATAATCTGCGTTTCATTTCTCATTCCCTCGGCATCGTATCTTATCGCCAGTATAGTCAGGTCGCTTGCCACCATTTGAAATGTAATAATAGCACCTCTACTATTACCATTAAACCCCTAGGCTCGAAGCTAACTCGTCGGCTTTCCGCCAATGATCTTTTGCGCTACTTGTTAGATCGCAGCTAGTTAGATCGCTTGGCTTTTCGTACAGGTAGCGAATGAACTGCTCAGCGGCGACGGAGACCACCTTAGAGTAATGGCATGAATGTGTAAATGGGCTAGAAAGAAAAAAAAACTTGCTAATCGGCCGCACAATTATTCTCTCGGAGCAAGCTTCGGTAAAGGGGTTGGTTGGTTGATAGTAGACAGCTAAGGTGATACAAGAAATGCGCCTTCGTTCTGCAGCATGAGGTTCCATACAGGGCCTCAGATCTTAACGCATGGCTTTTTGGTTGATGATTATGATGATGGTGGTTGGTGGGATCGGCCGAATCGAATGTGTCAAGTACGTCAAGTACGTCAAACAGCAAAAGACCGCGACCAATCGTCGTCCTCGAAAATATTCAGGCAGATAGAATGTACGACCCGACCCCCCGAGTGTCCGTCGGAACGTGGAGATTGTGTTGGAGAAGAGTGCGAGCATAGCCTTCCAGAAGCCTAAGGTTGGATTGGGGGACCAGGGGTGCAGAGGGGAAAGCCATGTGCCATATCGTCTGTGTGCAATGCTGCCAGAAATAGAAGCAGGCTGCGAAGCTACGGCATTGGTTTTCAGATTAATTGAGGGCGACGATCTTTCTACCTTTTCGACAATAGCATGTGCACCGATCGGGTGGATAGTTCCTTGCAGCTATGTCAGAGGTCTGAGTAGTAGTCTTCTTCTCTCCTCTTAGCTCGTATCGTCATTGGCTTCTAAGATAGGGACAGATAGAGTTATTAAACGCGAGGAACTATTTGATTCCGCGCAGGAAAATATTACATATCTTCTCGTAGCATTTGTAGGTGGGGACTTGCAGAGGCTTGCATCTTTGGAGATGATTCAAAGACGATTTAAGTTAGTCGAAATATGATATAATCTGGTACACATGTAGATCCGACCCGTTAATCCTTACATAATACACCTTGCTGATATGCAGGGCTTAGTGTCTAAACCTAAAGGCTCCTTCCGTGGACGGAGACCAAAAAGTGCCATGTGGATCGACGTGATAGAGTTGAAGCTTGAATCCATCGTGGATAATATAAATAAGTCCCTGTCTCTATGTACATAACTTGTACATAGCAAGGGTCACTTTCATTAGTGAAGTTACGTAAGACAGGGTTCTACCTGGTAAAAGATCCTTTACATAAGCGTGAAACGGCTTAAGATACCTAGTGTAGTTTATCTCTCTTTCCCTCCCCCACAAAACTCTTAACCTTAGATGCCCACGTTTTCGTTTCTAAATGAGCCGATGTTATATACATCCACTCCTAGGTGAGCAAAAGTACCGGCGCCGTTGATTTACCAACGATCATGTTAAGCGGGAGTTTGCAGTATCGTCATCACGGGGTCTAACTAGGACCTACGATTCGCTTGCTCGGTATCCATAACCGAAAATGGGGACACTGATTGTGGATTGGCGCAGGTGGAAAAATCAAACAATAGTCTTGGTTTGCGCGCGAACTACTGCGTAACAACACACAAACTGATGTTGCGCTTGTACTATCAAGCATCAAGGTTGTACAGTCACAATACATTCTGTCATTTCTGCGCCTATCGTAAGAGCCAAGCAGGCACGGAGCGGGTAAACCCTTAAAAGTCTATTTCCTTATTTCCTAGCCTACCTAGGACGCTAAGTCGACTAGAGAACCTTGAACCACTGCGGGTCATGAACCTTGGAACCGTTAAGCGACCTACAAAATGCCTCGGGAACTCTTCAAAGTGTCCACTCCGCTACTACGGACTCAAAACGGACTTACTATGTATTGACGACCGGAATCCCTTGCATCACTTGAGAACCCGAAGTCAGACTGACCCATCTACAACCGACCATCCGATCTATTATCAATGGAGATATTAATTATAAAGCATCTTCGTTGCTTAGCACCGATAAACTTGTGTTGCGTAGCGACGGGACGACGTTCCGAATATCTTAACAGAACAGTTATCATAAATAAAGAACCCTGAAACTAAAATAGCGGCGATGTCCGTATGCGAAGTTCTAACGTTTAACAGGTATTCGATGTTCTCAGAGATGACATCTCAGATTCTGGAGTTGCCAATTCGTCGAAACCCGCGCCACGCAGTCTCGTAGCTCAGAGCATCACTCTCAATGGTCCAAGGTGTCGAATGAGCATTCACTACATAGGAGATGTTGTCCTAAACTCCGGTGATGGACCTTGTTTATCGAATCACGTAACACGCTTACATACTCCGTCCGGCACTTGACATTCGTTTTCGGTGTGTAAGGAATTAAAGTATACCGAAAGCCACGAGACAACGTGGCTAGGAGTAAAGAATGTCTGGCTAGAGCCGTGGCTGCTTATCAACCTACCTATCACACACCTATACAAGAGGCCCACGGTGTAGTACAAGATCTTAGTCTACCAAAAGTGCATATGTACACCATCTCTACAACGCGTCGGAGAATTTATCGAACATACTATACTTAACCATATACGTGATATCTTGTAGTAGAGGGAAATAGAAACGACAGAAACGACGCTATACTCGTCTTAGTACCAGAAGCAAGTTCGTCACTAACAGATCATTTAGCAATCAGTATGTTACAATCACACAACGTCGGACACTCCGCAACACCGCAGGCTTCGGGCGCCGTTTCACAAAGGCCAGTGGGGGCCGTGGGGTAATCATGGTTACGAGCCTCAACTGATGCTGATGCTGATGCTGATGATGCCGCGCGTTCAGCGGATAACGGCTGACTCTTTTGCCGAGAAAGGCAAAGACTCAGATAGGTCATAGGTCATTAATGGTCAGCATATTCATGATAAGACGAGGGGGACGAGGGGTACTATTGCGACAGCGGCGATCTTTCATTTCCCCCACGGAGACATTCTGGGACATCTTAGGAAAGATAAACTCACGATCATTTGAAAATCGTTCTAAATTTGCATTTCTATCTACACACAGGACGCCTCAAGGGGTTTAATCGAGGCCCCTGCGCCGCAAGAGACATATTACATATTACGGAATGCTCAAGATTGTTTCGATCGGTCCCGAAGCCCCATTGGCCACCGCCAAGAATAGGAACTAGAATGGATGACCCTTTCGAAGAGAGCAAGAGACCGGCAGAACGATGTTACCTGACCATCGAGCAATCTCAGGCCGGCGTCGATCTCACTCGATACGTCGTGAGCTGGAGATTCCGACATTCTGCTGCGCCGTACGCATGCAGCAGCAGCTGGTATCTTAGCAGCTTAGTGGTCTAGTGGCCCGCTAATTCGAACAATCGAAGGTGGTCTCCCTTGCACATATTTAATTTCGAGGCCATTTTTGGTAACATTGTTCGATAGACCCTTACGCTTAACGTAAACCATAACCATGACTGCGTAATAACGTGCTCTCGTCCGTGCCGCACCGCTCGGCGGAAGGATAGTTCGGATGTTAGCGTCGGGACATAAATGGCCATAGCGTTGCCGGATATGTCCTAACCAAGCACCAGACTCACGGAGTGGCCGTTGGCGACCAACCACGCGAACTTGCGACCGACTCGCACTAAACCGGTCCGGTTGCAGTGCAGGTCTTGAAACAATGCTTGATGTGTGGCGATTGCTACACTGCAAGGACCTGTCAGGTTTAAAGCGTACAGATAACCCCGGTCCAATCTTCCCCAAACCACCTGACCTACACGTGTGAAAGCTGCAGGCCGAACGTGGGAGACGAGTGCTAATTCGACCCCCGAATGTAACCAAAAACATGAAGCTCGCCCAGTAAACTTGCGTCTTCTGCGCTTACTACGCATATTCGACCAAGAAAGCATGGTAGAGCAGCTGTTGATCGACTGTACGAGAACGAGACCAGGCTCACGCAGCTGTCATAAACTTCATGATTTTGACTAGTTCTATTGTCCAATACATCGGACGTTCCCCATACGAGGTGTAGAAAGCAACATAACACTCACACACTCAACGCATACCCACGCAACGACGTAAATAGAGCATCATCGTGCTTTTGACGTGACACAGCTTTGGCAGCTGTTTGGTGTTAGCTGCAGCACCCAACCGGAATATAACTGACCGAGATTGATGATTACATCTTCCGACTCGTTACCTTATCCGTGACTCGAAACGGAGAGTTGGCTTTCGTACGTACCTAGAGTACATACAGATGCTAGTGTCAGCCCTAAATCATCTCACTCATTTCAGCCGTCCTCACCGCGTAGCCTTGGTTTACGCAGTAAGGCCATACAGCTCGAGTCTGACAGATCGACAGCGTCGGACCCAGTTCCATGCTGCGAGTGGGGAAGTCGACACATAGTTGAGAGATGATATGTGATACCTCGATGGATACCCCTGATACCTTCAAGTACTTTGAGAAGCAGCTATCGTAAAAGATGCGTTGGCCACACTGACTGGCCATCTTCGATTCTCCGCTTCTATTCGCGTGTGCCCCCGCCGCACGTTGCTTGCCCGCATGCATACCACACATGCCACTTACACGCAGACCAAGGCATGTCCTGTTATTCGCCAGCGCCGCAATCGACCAAAATTACCCTTGCGCTGACCCGGGATAGTTGGAAGGGGGGCCAGTAACTCTGGATGAGTTTAATTACACCCAGAATTCTCCGCCGTCCTGGTCTTCTAGATATGCGTCGAAAAGTAGTAAAAATGGCATAGTCTGATGCGTAATATCAGTAAAGATGGTGTCAAGAGATTCTGACTTTCTAAAATTGTTAGTGTACATATGTTTAAGATTAAGATTAACGAGCAAAACTGGAAAGTCGATCCCCAGGGCCTTATCGTTAGCGCATCTCAATTAACATCCTGGGACTTGGTCAGTGCAATCTGCCTTCATGCCAGGTGCTCATGAATGTCCTGCATACTACCTAGGTACATGCTTACATACATACATATAGGTACCTACCTACATATTACATACGAAAGCGACATCCGTAATAGTGGAGGAAATTACGCTAAGGCTGTCCGGGGTTTGGTTAAGAGGCATGGTACCCCATAGATTCACGGCTGGAGTGTATATCGAATATGTACCTCTATCTCTATAGGTACCAAAGTACATATCTAGATAATCGCCCCACATAAAAAAAGAGGATGTTGCGACAAACGCTTCAGCCGCGCGAGGCTTTCCTGCGTCGGCTGTGTCGCACTAGTATAACGTAATCAATGCACACGGACCATTTCTTAGCCGCGCAGCATAAGGTTTGGGAATCCACAATGGCCGCAACGGCCACAACTGCCACAAAGTAAGCGCTTTTCACCGCCTACCTAAACGGCCCCAATTTCCAAATCAACAAACCAAAAACATCCATTCTTGCTAATTTTGCCTTGACGACTCCAAGATGCTAACCATTCTAACCAACCTTGTCGTCTCCTAGCTTAATTTGATACACACTTGGCAATTCAGCTGCCTAAATTATACGACGAGACGGGAAGCTAAGACATGATACCTCACTAAAAATAATCTCTGACAATTTCGACTGACAGATTTTTCATCTCGTCAGTCCAGGGGTGGTTACTGTACTTTGTCAATGGATGAATGGAGTATCTTAATCTATTACGGACAACAATAGCAACATGATGACTGCGGATACGAAGTGGAACGCGCGAAGAAGACGCGCTATTCAGTCCGTTTTCCAAACAGACATCTCACAGCCCACGCCATATTCAACACCATCTATACGGTTTCCTGAGCATGGCCAGGCTTTCGGGGGGCCCTTGGCGCAGACACCCCAGAAAGGAGGCACTGGAGCTCAGCTCTTCCTCTCGCCAGGGAACAATGATCATGCTGCACAGCAGACCCGCTTTGACCGGTCCTGGCACGTAGTCACATCCCGCATTGCACTTCCGCCCTCCGTGACGGCGGAGGATTCCTTCGGATCACCGCCGAACTCGCAGGATGTTGGAGATGAAGCATTTCGGGAGGCTCTCCGTGATGTGATAGACCCAGCTAGTCGTCTTCCGCTTGCAACTCACACCGATGATATCCTGGAGTGGCACACGCAGCAGGTTCGGTTACATTTTATGAGCTACGTTCTACCATTACTCGCGATATGCGACGGCTACTCGGACCAAACACAGTCCTTGCTGGGCAGCATACGAACTCTAGAAGCTGCATATAGACAATATCTGTTCGGTCTCCGGTTGATCTTCCGTGCCATGGACGAAGACGAGGGAGACCGTGCTTTAATGAAATTTCAGCGTGATATACACGCTCTTGTAGGCAACTCTATGTCTGATGCTTTGATGAAAGCCTTAAAGTCGGTCCTCGGCAAGCTGATGAGGACGCTGCTCGGTGTTAAAGGAACAAACCGCGCGCCCGAGCATGGAAAGGAGATGATAATAGAACACGACAACGTGGATAAAGCAAAAAAGGAGTTGCATGAGCTACTGGACTCACTTAACAAGGTTGGTTTAGCTGGTGAAAGGTTTCAGATCTTATTTGCAGAGCTCCTCGATGGCATAATGATCACCTATATTCAGGAAACCTTCGCTGGAATATGGGAGCCAAACGACGACTTGAAGATGAGATCACGCCTTACGAACCATATTCGAGTACAACCCACATGCGTAAAAGAACTCCTAGACTGGGTCGAGGACATGTATGCGAGACTAGCCGCGGAAGTTATTGGCACTCTTGGTACCGACGCAGATGTAGCTTGGGCAGACGTAGCTAAATGGAAAGAGATTGCCACTGGACGACTTGCCGCACTCCGAATCGATGAGCTGTTCGACATTGTTATTAACTGGCCGGACAGCGAAGGAGGGATTGATGACCTCCGCTACTCAGTTACGACGCCCCAGCGACGACTACAACTCACCGATGCATTCTCATCTACCTTGCAAAAGCGCTTACTTCATGCCGGGCGTTCGACGCTAGAAATACTTCGCACATATATTGCAATGATCCGAACGTTTCACAGGCTTGATCACACGAGGGTGCTCTTAGACCGAGTAGCCTATCCTCTCCAAATGTACCTTTGTACTCGAGAAGATACCGTACGCATCATCGTTACGGGCTTACTAACTAGCCGAGAAGAGGTTAACACCGAAAGCCGGAATACGAAGCTCGTTGAACTGGTCGAGTTGCTGCTACAGGATTCTAATGAGCACCGCAACGAACGACAAGACGAAGACTTCGATGACTTGGATTGGGCCCCTGCACCGGTAGATGCAGGCTCTAATTATAGACGACGGAAGTCTGAGGATGTCATCGGTACACTCATAGGGGCCTTGGGATCCCCAGAGGTATTCATCAAAGAATTCCAAAGTATCATTGGAGAGCGGCTACTATCCGAACAGTCGGGGTTCAAACAAGAAGTGGGCGTACTTGAATTACTCAAGAAACGGTTCGGCGAGTCGTCATTGCAGGCTTGCGATGTGATGATCAAAGATATCCAAGACTCGGCTCGACTGGACGGCGTCATCCACCGTGGGGCTGTTAATCACCCAGAAAAAGTAAACCGAGACTGGACGATACACGCAAGAATCCTATCTCGACTCTACTGGCCCGAGGTAGGGGAAGAACGGTTCCACTTACCTCCCAGCGTCACTGAAATGCAGAAGATGTACGAGACCATATTTGAACATCTCAAACCATCGCGTAAGATCAAGTGGCTTAATCATCTCGGCCAGGCCACTGTGGAACTTGAACTAGAGGATAGAACGATCTCAGAGCAGGTTCATACGTATGAAGCGGCTGTCATCTATGCCTTCAGCGAGGAGAACTCGTCTAGTTGGACCTTCGATGATCTATGGATGAAGCTTGAGATGGATGAAGATCTTCTCACGGCGGCGCTTGAGTTTTGGGAAAAGAAGCATGTGCTCCGCAGACACCCTGATAACACATATGTCGTTGTCGAGCGCCTCTCGGATGCCGAACAGCCTTCGTTGCTTCAATCAGCCCAACCATCTACCGCCGCAGCCGTCGACGTGACATCAGGGACGCCCCGAAAAGCCAAGTCCGGTATGAGTGAAAAGGAGAAGGACAAGCGACAAGTTTACTGGCAGTTCATCGTCGGCATGCTTACTAACTCAAGTCCTGCTATGCCTCTCGGTCAAATATCAATGATGATGAAAATGTTGATTGCTGACGGGTTCCCCTGGAGCAACGAAGAGCTGCAGGAGTTCCTAGGCGAGAAGATAGGCGACGGCGAACTCGAAATTGTGGGGGGTAAATATAAGCTCATCAAAAAATGAGATCTCAACCCGCTTATCTCAGCCCCTGCCTCCGTTTAGGGATAATTTATGACGATGCTGGTGAGAGCCTCGTACACTAAGCCGCGTTGTGTTTGTGTGGCTTACTGGCGTCAGCATGCTTCTGAAACATCCGCTATTAGCGGCGATCGTTTTTATGATGTACCTACACGAGTTAACAACCAGGCCAGTGCGAGGTCCGTTCAAGGCTCGCCTTAGTGTCGTTCGATCGTTGGGTGGGGGACATCAGATGAATAATCGGCTACGTAGGGTGTACACCGAGTAAAGTTGACGCCATCCCGCCTTTTCCTTCGGTTGACTTTCTGGCGCCAGTCAGCTCGGCTACTGTGCTCAGCGAAGCAAAGTATCTTTTGTTAACGACCCATATCGAGGTTTCGGGTACAGAGGCGCATTACGTATGTATGTTGTACGGAGCACTCGCCGAAAAAAGGTAATAGAGTACGGATGGTTTTCCCCCATAGGCATACAGGCATATAATCAGACGAGGAATGATTTTGGTCACACCGGTCGCGGAGAATGCGGGCGGAGAGGCAGGGCAGGGGTTCGTGAAGCCTTTTTCGAACGGGGGCTCCACGAGCTTATCTGCGTAGGAATGCAATACCTGTGCGAATCACGCCGCAGGCCATGTGCGCGCGACACACACACTGTCGATAGCCTTGCGGAGCAGAAGCCAGTGCATGTAGGGTAAGCAGCACGCGGCCCCCCTTATTCGCGGGGAATACGACGAAAGATGAAGATGGAACCATGGTTGCTCCGTGTCTTACGTGCGAGAGAGACAGGTAGACGCTGTCATTGTTCATGTATGATGTATGATGATATGTATGTTTTATGTGCGGTACTTTGGATCAAGATCACCTTTTTTTTTTTCCCCGGTCTGACGGGAAAAGAGGAGAAGACGGCTTGGAATTGATAAAATACTACTTCACCCATATCATAAGTACCTGTTGTCCTATTCAGTCCCCCTCATCCCGTCCGTATCTATCGGCCGGGTACGCGCAGCGATGTGATTGAAATGGAAAAGAGAAGGCGGAGTGGGAAGACGAGAGCGGACAAGGGCCAGGTACGGCGGAGCACAGGGCTCAGAACGAAATAACGAGAATTTAATATATAAGTGCACGCCTAATGGGAATTTAGTGCTGTGCACGGATCATTGAGAGCGCGCTAGACGCTTTTAGGGCGGAGTTAATGCACGTTTTAGCCGTAATTGGATGGATTGCGCATGTACTTTTTTAATATAACGAAAAAATTCGTTTAACGAGGTAATTTTTAAAAAAAAATTTAAAAAATATTAAAAATTATTAAATAATTAATAATAATAATAATAATAATAATAATAATAATAATAATAATAATAATAATAATAATAATAATAATAATAATAATAATAATAATAATAATAAT